CATCAGCAGGAGAGGACTCTTTAAAGTAGAGACACTACATATATACACCTGCACATCAGCAGGAGAGGACTCTTTAAAGTAGAGACACTACATACTGATATACACCTGAACATCAGCAGGAGAGGACTCTTTAAAGTAGAGACACTACATACTGATATACACCCGAACATCAGCAGGAGAGGACTCTTTAAAGTAGAGACACTACATACTGATATACACCTGAACATCAGCAGGAGAGGACTCTTTAAAGTAGAGACACTACACACTGATATACACCTGAACATCAGCAGGAGAGGACTCTTTAAAGTAGAGACAATAAATACTGATATACACCTGAACATCAGCAGGAGAGGACTCTTTAAAGTAGAGACACTACACACTGATATACACCTGAACATCAGCAGGAGAGGACTCTTTAAAGTAGAGACAATAAATACTGATATACACCTGAACATCAGCAGGAGAGGACTCTTTAAAGTAGAGACACACAGAATAGGGCCTCTTCAATGAGGCTTGAAGCTAATACATTCTGCTGAAATCTAAGATCCATTAATGTGTTTTGCTTCCTAGCAATCTGTTAATGTCAATGTGATCTCAGATAATGACGTAATGGTCGATGTTTCATTTTCTGTCGAGACGATAAAACGTGCTCTTCATTTGAATTGTGGAAGGAATAAAGAGAGTGAGAGGAGGAGGAGCTGAGCTCAGTTCAAATGGGAATCTGGTCCTCGGGGTGCATGTGAGAGAGCGATAGGAGAGGGAAGGAAAGGAACATGCAATTCCAGAGTACATGTGCTGCAGCGTGGGTGGGTTTGTGTTGCAGAGAGAGCGAGGGGGTGATATCGTAAAGAGATTGAAGCCGACTACAGGGCATTGAATGCAAATCGAGTTGTTTAACATACAGTAATGTTGCATCTTAGATAGATAGATGGATAGATAGATAGATAGATGGATAGATAGATAGATAGATGGATAGATAGATAGATAGATAGATAGATAGATAGATAGATAGATAGATAGATAGATAGATAGATAGATAGATAGATAGATAGATAGATAGATAGATAGATAGATGGATGGATGGATAGATAGATAGATAGATAGATAGATAGATAGATAGATAGATAGATAGATAGATAGATAGATGGATGGATGGATAGATAGATAGATAGATAGATAGAGAGATGGATGGATGGATAGATAGATAGATAGATGGATGGATGGATGGATGGATGGATGGATGGATGGATGGATGGATGGATGGATGGATGGATAGATAGATAGATAGATAGATAGATAGATAGATAGATAGATAGATGGATGGATGGATGGATGGATGGATAGACAGACAGACAGACAGATAGATAGATAGATAGATAGATAGATAGATAGATAGAGATAGATAGATAGTTTGGGAAATTATTTTCGTCACAGAGGCAGAAGTGTGTTCAGACTTTATAATACAATTCTTAAAATACTTAAAGGGGACCTATCATGCAAAATGCACTTTTGTACGTCTTTTATACATGAATATGTGTCCCCGGTGTTCCAGGGAACTCACCAAGTGTCAGAAAACACAACCCTCTCTATTTTCCTCCATACCCAAATCTCTAAAAAAGGGGCTGCAACGGATCTGATAAAAACTGATCCAGATTTGAACACTGTCTTGACGTCAGGACAGTAGCGCTACGGCTATTGGGCCAACTCCACCAATCAGGAGGAGACAGCCACGGCCATTGCCGTTCGAAAGCGCTGGAGACGCTGTAGTACATATGCCAGGCCTGTAGGTGGTGCTGTTCTCACTGAATCAACCCTTGCTAAAACAGAGCTAGAAATTGTCAAATTGAGCAAAATGAGGCATGGCTAAAATGCATGATCTGTTTGGTATTTTGAAAAAAAAAAAGTATAAATATGCCTTATATAGGTATGGTCCTACACTATATTATTCAAATATAGCATGATAGGTCCACTTTAAACAAGTGGAAAAGAGAATTAACAAATACAAATAAAATCAAAAATATTATATCAAATATAAACAATATACACAAAACAATATAAAATATTCTGGATATTTAAAATAAAAAGTCAAAAATACAACAGGTCTTTTATAAGAAATGAGAAACTCAGTGAATCAAAACTAACAAAAACTACAATGATACCAGGAAGTAGTTTGTTTACAGTTGAGATAGTGATGATGTTTTTACAGTTTCTTCTCCGTTGCACATCTCCTAGCAACAACTTCGGAAGATGCCATTTTGAACGTTTTATAACACTAAAGCCGTAGGTTTCTACTGTGACATGTTTCCATGCTTTAATGTTCAAAAAGCTCTTTATTTTGCGTGATCACGTCTAGTCGTCTCATTTGGACACTTTTTTAATTCACCAGTGGGGTATTTACTGACGTATTTTATGTCGTAGAACAAAACCTTAAAATATATTCAGCTTGTGTTAACCACAGATCTTATTTTCAACCAAAAACACATTCAGAAAACCATTGACTTCCAGACAAGGGTACAGGAAGTGATAAAAAAGCAGAGTAATTTCCGAGTTGTAGGACTCCTCCACTCTGTAGCATCCTTCAGATTTGCACAAGGAATTGTTATAGAGGCAAGGGTCCAGGGTAAATGTGAGGCTTTTCCTCCTGAAACACACAGCGCTGTTGATCCTCACAGTTATTTCACATCATTTCGACACACAGCTCAAAGACAGAAACGATCAAATGATGAAAGTGTTTCTGAGGAACGCTGAAAGGTTTTCCGAGCCGCTTCCTGGTGAAATGTCTTTAATGTATCTTATCAAACGTCTACCTGAGGAGAAACACTTTGTTCGTCTGAGTGTTTGCTGCCGTGGATTAAAGATATGTAAATATGAAACAGGCTTCTTCTAGAGTCCTGTCATATTTTTTCTTTTTACTCCTGTGTGTCGAGTTTTGGTATGAAATTGTTGTTTTAAATGTTTGGTCATGATAAAAACGCAAACATATCTTACCAAGACTCTCACTGTGAGACGGCTACAAAGGCTCTTGAATATGGCTGATGCTACTGTGTGTGTCTGTGTGTGTGTGTGTCTGTGTGTGTGTGTGTGTGTGTGTGTGTGTGTGTGTGTGTGTGTGTGTGTGTGTGTGTGTGTGTGTGTGTGTGTGTGTGTGTGTGTGTGTGTGTGTGTGTGTGTGTGTGAGTGTGTGTGTGACCGATGCCCATTTGAAAGCCGGCGCAAGTCTTTCGCCCTTCAATAGACAATTAACAAGGGCCCATTTCATTGCAGTGGTTTGGGAGGGCATACAATTACCACTGGAGCTGAACCAAGCTAAACACACACACACACACACACACACACACAGGCAATTCTTCGTAATGAGCGGCACTATCAGCCGTCCTTTCTTCCTCTCTTTCATTTGCCTTTTGCTCCCTCTCTCCTCCTCTCACTCCCACCTGCTCTGTCGAGGCGTTTAGATTAAACTCCTCCTGTCTTCTTCCTTCTCTCCTGTGATGTGTTTGCTTCAAAGCTCATGACAAATCTTTCTTCCTCCTCTCCCTCTTTCCTTTTTCTTGAATGCTGCAGCTAACCTTCTCCTAATTCTCATCATCATCCATTTGTCACCTTTTTTTGTTTAGATCCATGCCACCTTTATTCATCTTTTGTTTCTCCTAATTCACAACTTTTACCTTCCTCCTCCCCAGCGACATCTTTTTATTCTTTCTTGTATCTGTTATATAGTCCTGCAGGTATGACACATCTGTATAGGCTAATCCAGATGTAAGGATGACACCAGATCCTCAGCAAAAAGTGGATTTATGGATTTGGAATTGGATTAATGCAGAAAGAGGGCTGTGTCAAATAAATGATACTGAAACTCACACAATAATCATCACATATTAACATTAGTTTTCTGCATTTTTAAGCGAAAATACAATCTCCAGAAGTAAAAAGCTGACGCTAGGCTATAAAGGAACTACAGCACGGTCACATGACTTCATGTCACCACCGCTAAGCTAAAGGAGGCTAATGTTGGGCTATAAAGGAACTACAGCACGGTCACATGACTTCACGTCACCACCGCTAAGCTAAAGGAGGCTAATGTTGGGCTATAAAGGAACTACAGCACAGTCACATGACTTCACGTCACCACCGCTAAGCTAAAGGTGGCTAATGTTGGGCTATAAAGGAACTACAGCACAGTCACATGACTTCACGTCACCACCGCTAAGCTAAAGGTGGCTAATGTTGGGCTATAAAGGAACTACAGCACGGTCACATGACTTCACGTCACCACCGCTAAGCTAAAGGTGGCTAATGTTGGGCTATAAAGGAACTACATCACGGTCACATGACTTCATGTCACCACCGCTAAGCTAAAGGAGGCTAATGTTGGGCTATAAAGGAACTACAGCACGGTCACATGACTTCACGTCACCACCGCTAAGCTAAAGGTGGCTAATGTTGGGCTATAAAGGAACTACATCACGGTCACATGACTTCATGTCACCACCGCTAAGCTAAAGGAGGCTAATGTTGGGCTATAAAGGAACTACAACACGGTCACATGACTTCATGTCACCACCGCTAAGCTAAAGGCGGCTAATTTTTGGCGTGATGACGTTTAGTCGTCTCATTTAGACATGTTGACCAGTTAGCTATTTACTGACGTATTTATATCATAGAACAAAATGTTAAAATCTCTTCAGCTTGTGTTAACCTTATTTCAGGCTAACCAAAAACACATTAAGAAAAACATTGACTTTCAGACGAAGGAACAGGAAGTGATAAAATGCTGGCTCATGGTTAGGTTTCAGGAGTCATTCCTGCCGCTTTTATCATTTATTTTACTGCAATGAATGTGATGAGTCAATGATCATGGGCTATTGATTTAGAGAAGCACACAAAAACACTTATCATTATGTATTCTTTTTCTCCTGTCAAATAAATAATTAAAGCTCTCTGACTTCTGACGATATTAATATCTCTGTATCTTAATGTGTTTTTTCTCTTTTCTCACACAGGTTCTTTTAAAGGCATGTGTAAGCAGATAGATCACTTCCCGGAGGATGCTGACTATACGGCAGATGCTTCCGAGTACTTCCTACGTAAGTCCTTGCTCCACTCATATTCCCAGAGTTATAGAACTGCTACAATCCCAGTTTATATAGGAAGATCACTTTGCTCCAGGGTTCTCCTGCTTAAACAGTTGTTGGGGAGCAGGACCATTCAGTCTGCATGGACGTTTGGAAAGACTGTACTTTGTAAGCAGGCTAATTGCTTCAACCCCAGAAGTGCTTCTTGCAGTTTTGTCAATAATTGTGCTGTGGCTGATTGTCATCTCAAGTGTGAAGAAGTTTTGGATAAACAGTTCTCTAGAGATTCAAAGGGACAGTCATACAAACCACAAACACATGTCCTGCTACAGTACCATCAATTAGTCCGTTAGCATCAACTTTGTATGTCTATCAAAATGTGGTTTTAATAGCATTCAGGAAATATACCAATATTATAATTTTGCAAGCACTGCCTACAACATTTGAGCAAACATCGAGGACTAGCTATATTACAACTGTGTAGAACATCCAAAATCCAATTTGGTGACGATTGTTAAAGATGTTTTGGAGAAGTCTGAAAAAAACGATGTGGACACAGTTCAAAATGGTGGAAAATCTATAGATGCAAAACATATTTTTTTTCCAAGACTTGCAATAAAAGAATGAACGCCCAAAATGTAAAGTTTGTTGTTAGAGCACCGCCATCTGGCCAAAATTGATCCTAATTAAAAATTGCACTCCCATTACCAAGTGTACAGTTGTTCATATGACTAGTTCTTGAGATATACAAAGGACATACAGAGAATAGAACAGATGGAGATTCCTTGCTTTTATGGTTAGATGTTTTCTCCATATATGTGTGTATGATTGAGTTTTGGCAATATCCTGATGCTCATTCACTTGTGTTTTACTTCATTACTAACTTGTTCTTAAAGTTGCCCAATATATCTAACTTTTGCAGTGTATTTATGCTAGTTTTGTAAAGAAGTCCAAAGTCATACCTGAATAGCATTGCCATATCATCATGGTTGCTCTACAAATAAGACATAATATCAAACTAAAACAATGGTTTTAAACCATCATCACTGGGGTTGAATTGATTGGTATTTCGCAAGTATCAGTTAGATACAAGAACATGTATATCTGCCATCAGTAAGCAAACTGTTTAGCTTTATGTTAGGAGAACAAAGAGGGAAGATGGGTCACTAATGAGGACACAAGAGAAAGGAGGGCTAGGAGTAGAAGTTAGAGTTTGAAGAAAGATGGCAGAGTAGCGAAAGAGTTGAAGATGTGAAATCTTGAGAGAGCACGAAAGTGGAAAGACTCAAACAAAGAGTTGGTAAAGGCAAAGGTTGAGGCACTGATATAGAAAAGGAGCAGGGAAGGGCAGTATAACAAGAGGCATGAAGTCTTAGAAAAGACCAATTCCAGGAGGTGAAAGAGGACACGAGGATGTGGCGGCAGGAGAAAGCCAAGGAGAAGTGAAGGTTGAGGAGGTGAAGGACAAGGAGTAGGGAACCAGAGCAGTGCTGTTGCTCTCCCAGCGGCTTGCCAATTAGGACACTTTCTTCTAAAAATAATCACGGCTCCGCTATATGGGTCACACCTCTCTCTCTCCTGCTTCCCTTCCATCCTTCCCTTACCTCCTCCTCCCTCTTGCTTTCCACCCATCTGTCTGTCCGTCTGACAGCTGGTGGATGGAGGCCATGGGGTGGAGCGAGGGGATGACGGAGAACAGGACCGAAAGGGAACCCAAGTTGATTCAAAAGTGTTTAGAAACGTACAGAAAGGTAAAGTTTCTTGAAATTATAAGAAATGACTAGACCAGCGGTTCCCAACCTGTGGGAAGGCATTGCAAGTGGGCCGCCAAATAATTTACAAAATATTATGATTTGTGTGGAAACATTTTCCTTATAAAGATTTTTTGTATTTGAACCTCCTTTCCTTTCTCGATCCTCCTTAGCAACGGTCATTCCAGTCCTTGACAGCGGTCTGTTCTACTGGATTAACATTGTGTCACATGTTCTGAATCGACCAATCAGAACTTTATTTAGCCTCCATATTGTTTATGGTTGAATGTGGTTGTATGTGGGCCACGAAAAATGTTTAGATTCTTAAGTGGGCCCTGAGTTGAAAAAGGTTGGGAACCGCTGGACTAGACCATTGTTATATACTTTGTTGAGTCAGGGTGACCAGGTGTCCCGTTTTGTGCGTGACTGCTCAGCTTTTTTATAACTTGTCCTGCAAATAGAGCTGATGTGCCGCATTTGATTGATGGAAGCCTTTCTAAAACTTGCCTTTTATCCCAATGCTTTGTAGAAAAACAAGAGAGGGCAATCACCATTAGCTGTGTCAAATATCAATACATCTATACATTCGTGGGCGGGGTCAAGGCCTCGCCAACCTGTCACCATCCTTAATTGCCTATGTTCAGCCCTACTGGGACAAAACAGCACAAGCTAACAAGATGCACTTTTTGGTTGAATTACTCATGTGTGAAGCTGGTTGAGGGCCGGAGAGTTGGATTTTTTCTGCAATGGCGCATGGAGGTGAATATGGTTTGATTGAAACACTACATGCAAGGCTTTATTTATATGAATGGTTTCAATATTGAGATTATTTTACCTCTCAGCATCATGGTAACATGTTCAACATTATCACACAAAAAACTACTCTGTCCCACATGTGGATTGTTGGGATCTGGTCGCCATTGTCGTATCCTGTTGGCATTAATTTGTCTGCCAGAAAATGTCATAAATTGATCTTTAATCAAGCTTTAATGTCAAATTGTTGCAATACACTTCTTAGACCTTGGTGCTATTTACTTAACTGGATGATGGATATTACTAATCGGACGTCTAAATCTTGTTCTATCTACCAAAGAGCATAGGAAAAGACATCGTTCTTTAACCTGAAACAGCTATATTAAGTGTTTTTACTGGTTTTAATCTGTGGGTCAGATTGTTTTGGAGAGAAGATCTCTGTGGAAAACTCTCACCTGGCCATAATCTCTGGAAAGACGAACACTTAGCGAATCTTAACCAGGACATTTGACTCCATTGACGGCTATAGTGTAGAAGACTACAACTCCCATGCTCTGTTTTTGTTTATGTTTTGATTTTGAGACTCTAGTGGCAGAAAATTACAGATTGTGCCTTTACGCAAGTTGAGTTTGAATACATCAGAGCTTATATTTTTTATATGCTCTTCTGTTTTTTTCAACAATTTCAAATTCTTATACTGACCAGTAGTCTTCTTATTTCAGGTCTCATGAAAGTTCAAGGTTCAAGGTTTCAAGGCTTTTATTTGTCATACGTACATAGCTACCGTGTAGTTATGTCGATTAAAATAGGTCACAAGCTCCTCCAACAGTGCAACACAATAAAACAGAAAAAACAGAAAAATAGTGCAAGTAAATACAAAATAAATTGTGAAATAGTGCAATAAGTTCGACCATATTGGGTTTCAACGCAAGGTGAAAGGATTCCTGATGGTCCTGAAGGACTTTTTGAGTGCACAGAACAGTATTTATACCATTTGAAGGTGGAAGCTCTACCCAAATGTACCCATTCATTACATGTTACTTGTTAGACGCTTTTATCCAAAGCGACTTACATACTCAATACTGTGGACAATCCCCACAGGAGCAATTTGGGGTGAAGTGTCTCAGGGACACAACGACATGCTGACTGCAGTGGGGTTTGAACCTGTGACCCCCTGATCCCAACACCAAGGCTCTATCTACTGCGCCACACGCCTCCCATTCAGACAAAGGAACCGGTTCATCGATCAGGCTGTGCTCTGGTATCTTTTACACTCTTGTTGCCACGAACACAGCAGTCACCCGTTTTGGAGTGGATGATAAAAGCTGCTTTTTCATTTTTTTGAATTACTGTATTTTGTCTGGCTGAAGCACTGATACTGCATTTTTTCTTTTCCCTGCTGTGAGTTGTCATGGCAACCTTTTAAAATATATCTGTTCCCTTGGTTGTTTGTAAATGTAGAGCTGTGTGAGGCCAGCTTAACGCTCGGGACAAACCTGAAGACTAGCTGAAAAATACAAAGGCTGGACTAAAAAAACACGTTTTCATCAACTATCACAAATGTGTGTAAGGTCTTTATTTCATTCCTGATCAAGCCAATGGCAAGCTGGTTTTAGCCTTATTTGGAGTTTCCTTTTTACACATTAGATGTGTATTCTCATTATACAACTACAACGAGAAATACACAACAAGATCATGTCAATAGCAATCTCACTTTCTAGAAACACTCGTTTTAGTTTGGAGAACAGCATCCATATATGCGGTTTATCAAAGCAAACCATCATATCTGATTACATGTGACATAAAAACTCCAGTGTTAGAAAATCATGTTAATTAATGCTTTTAAAAACATATGTTATGGGTTTGATTCAGACATAATTTGTTATTTTCTGCTTGTTCAAGCTTTTTCTCTATTCAACTGTTTTTGTGTCATATCCTGTTAAGCCCGAGCCTGTTTTTCAGGTTTCAGGCTAGAAAATGACATGCCCAAAACAAATGACTACAACTTCACTTCTAAAAGGGTTATATGAATAATTTATTTTATCAAAGCAAGGTTACATCTGTGAGTTGGATGTAGAAGTGTCAGAATCAATATAGATTTTTCTCAGTCAGAGTAAATTCAGATGGAACATGGTAAAAAAAGGTAAATTCTTACCTCCGCCTAAAGAAAAAACATTACTTATAGTGAAAACCACCCTTGAATGATGGGATAGTAGACTAAAAGCTTTAGGAATCCAAACTATAACATATAATAAGTACCCTGTATCAAGATTGAGGCAAAACAAGTTAAATTTGACCTTTTTAGAGAGGTTTAGCAAAAATAAGTTCCAGGCGGAATAAGCTTTCGGCACATTTGGGTACATCTGGTTCCATCAGTGCCATTTGACCTTTTTCAGGTACCAGACTATAAAACTGTATTACATTGAATTATCACCATAGGTATTCATTCCATCCAAAGAAAAAATAATTTAAATAAAAAAAGTTAATAAAAAATTAAAAAATTAAAAA